ATAATTAATTATTATTTGACTAATTTTATTGACCTTGTATATTAAATTAAATTTGTGAAATCTGGGTACCTATAGCATAATTTAAAAATAAAATAATAATTAGTTAATAAACGTTATATTTTTATGCCGTATATTTATGGCCCAATCTCCGGTACACTTTCAAATATTTATTTAATTTGTGGCCCAATCTCCGGGTAATAAAATGTACACAAATATTTTATACAAAGTAGGTAGATAAAATGTGGCCCAATTACCGACCGCCCTAAAGAGTAATTATTCTACAATTTTATACAGAATATATTATATTTTTCATGGAATCTTYATATTATTTTTCGCAAAGATTTGTAAAAAATTTCACCTAACCTAACCTAACCTAGCTGCAGGTATACAGACAAACGAAAACATCGAACTATACACGGCGGAGTGATTGGGGAGAGTGAGGCACTTGTGACATGCCGAGGGTTGATGACGAATGAGGATTACTTTTTTTTCCAGACTTAAAAGAGTAATGTGAAAAATGTGTGCACAAAAAACGCACTCGCATACACAAACGTAAGTATATTACATACATGTATATATGTGATAAAATATATGGGAGAAAAAAATTAAATAGGTCGTGCAAATGGATGTTGTCATGACACATTTATATATAATATACTCTTACCGACCACCCGAACACAATCACTCCACGTCCGCCCATCTCGACAAAAACTAATATGATTTTCTTAGAATTTTAGAGCAAGGTAAAAGCGTGGTTTCTGGTGGTATAGAGGTAACACCCACGTGGTATAAAATGCGGCGTGTGACGTTTAAATACAATATGCTCTTCTTTTTTTTTGCCGACACGTCGAGACGTCGCGATAATCCGACAACGATAGAATTAACGTTTAAAATTACACGTACRGGGTCGCGATTAAATTAACTTTGAAACGTATTCGGACGTATATGTCAATTTGACAGTTTTTACAAAATAAAATAATCCCATTAAACAATCAATAAYAATAACGTGTAGGTATTGGTTATCGATTGACGTATGCAAGTATCGGGTCACAGCGGCCAGGAAAATACATAATTAATTAGTTTCTGTGAGAGCGTTTTAATTGAATTTTTTTTTTTTAAAACCCAATTATTTTGCTAAAAAAAACTCATACCTATATATTATAAATTATAATACTTTATGGGAAAATCGTACTTATGTTTAAATGAGAAATCTACAATAATATT